TGTAGTGTTARAAAGTAGGAAGTGATAACCTTTGGGTACCGATGGATGATGAGTGGGGCTTTGGTAGTGTTAGCAATATTCTAAAACTTGATTTGGGCTTTAATTATGCAGATTATGTTGACTCTTTGGGAATTTGTGGTGGTGTATAGTCTTATAATTTGTGTGATTTTCTGTATGTATGCTATACTTCAGTAAAAATTTATTAAGGAGAGTTAGAAGTTAAATGGCTTTACTTACCTAACTTTTAAGTATGATTTTATAAATTAGCATTGAGATCATTTTTAAATTAAAKACTTTCAGAAGTAAATATGCTTTTTCTTTTTTCTATTTTAAAATTTTTATTTGTTCTTTTTAGATATACATGGCACTAGAGTGTATTTTGACATATTATACATACGTGGAGTATAATCTTCCCATTCTTGTGGTTGTACATGATGTGGAGTTACACTGGTTATGTATTCAAATATGAACATAGGAGAGTTATGTCTGATTCATTTTATTATCCTTCCTATTCCCATCTTYTCTCCCTTCCTTTTATTCCCCTTYKTCTAATTCAGTGAACCCCCTTTATGTGTTAGAATCTGCACATCAGAGAGAACATTAGGCCTTTGGTTTTTTGGGTYTGGCTCATTTCACTTAGAGTATGCCATAATTTTGTTCTTCTTTATGGCTGAGTAATATCCCATAGTGTACACATACCACATTTTCTTTATCCATTCATCTGTTGAAGGTGGCACCTAGGTTGTTTTCATAGCTTGGCTATTGTGAATTGTAGTATGTTGATTTTTCAGAATGGCTGTACCAATTTACAGTCCCATCAGCAATATATGAATGTACCTTTTCCCCCACATCYGTGCCAACATTTATTGTTACTTGTATTMTTGACAGTTGTTGCCATTCAGACTGGAGTGARATGGAATCTTGGTGTAGTTTTAATTCTCATTTCTCTAATTGCTAGATATATTGAACATTTTTCATATATTTGTCGAGCATTTGTAGTTTTTCTGTGAAGGSTCTGTTCAGTTCCTGTGCCCATTTATTGATTAAGTTATTTGGGGTTTTCTTTTTTRGTTTTAAGTTTTTTGAGTTCTTTATGTATCTTGGAGATTAATGCTCTGAGGTACAGGTGGCAAATGTTTTCTCCCATTCTCTAGGCTCTCTGTTTCCATTCTTGATGGTTTCTTTTYTTGTGAAGAAGTTTTTTAGTCTGAATCCATCCCATTTATTGATTCTGATTTCATTTTGCTTTAGGAATCTTGTTGAGGAAGTCAGTTCCTAAGCCAATATGATGGAGATTTGGGCCTAYTTATTCTTCTAGTATGTGCAGGGTCTCTGGTCTAATGTCTTTATCCTTGATCCACTTTTAGTTGAGTTTTGTGCAGGGTGAGAGGGGTTTAATTTCATTTTTTTTTTTTTTACATATGGAATTCTAGTTATCCAAGCACCATTTGTTGAAGAAGCTATCTTTTCACTGATGTATGTTTATGACACCTTTGTCTAGTGTRAGATAACTGTGTTTAGGTGGGTTTGTCACTGTGTCTTCTATTCTGTACTATTGGTCTTCATGTCTGTTTTTGTGCCRATACCATGCCTTTTTTGTTACTATAGTTCTGTAGTATAATTTAATGTCTGGTATTGTGATGCCTCCTGTTTCACTTTTCTCACTAATGATTGCTTTGGCTATTCTTGGCCTCTTATTTTTCCAGATGAATTTCCTGACTTAAGTATGTGCTTTCTCAATGGGAAAAGTTTTCTTCTTATTATTTTCCCCAGGAAGTTAATATTTAAGTGCTTCATCAGTGATCAAGCAACATTGCATMAATTCAGTCCTCATAAAGGAACCTGTTGTATCAGAATGGAACAATGTATAGAAGGAATGAAGTTGTTTCAGAGACCATGTCTACAAAATCTTCAGGAGAAAAAAGATCAAGTTGGGAGTATGGGTGGCTGCTCAATAATATTTATTTTCTACCGCAAAATTGCAGTAATCTAAAAGCATGAGGCCCAACTGTTGTAAAAGAAAAAGACAAATTCATTTTTTCCCCTTTATTCAACATAGTTACTCAGCACAGTATTTCTGATACTATGTGTGTGTGGAAATGCACACGCGTGCGCACATACACACACGCGCGCGTATACACACACACACACTCACCTAGCAGTTGTGCAGCAGATACTAACTAGGTGTCCTATTCTGTCAATTCTGGAGATAGCGTCATATCCCACAGGTTGAGGACCACAAAACTACCCCCTAATACAGATACCAGTTGCAAGTAGTAGATTTTTGTGACCAGTACTTATGACCAACCAGCAATAAATTGAGTTTTGATTAATTTGCTAAAGCAACTCAGAACTCAGGGAAACACATTTACCCACTTATTATAAAGGATATTAYGAAGGATACAGATAAGAGATGGATAGGACAATGTTTTGTGGGAGGAGTGCAGTTTCCAACTCCTCTTTGTTGTAAGCTATCTGGAAGATCCCTGAATCCAGTTCTTTTTGGTGTAGATAAGTAGATATGATTGATTTAAAAAAAAATCACTGGCTATTGATGCTTAACATCTTCACCTCCCTGAAGATTGGAAGGTAGGGTGGAACTGAAACTTTCAAGTCTSTAATCAAGAGATTAGTTCTCCTGCAATCCCTGTCCCCCATCCTGAGGCCATCCCGGAGTCCTCAGCCATTCGTCTCTCATTAGCATAAAAAGAGATATCATAGCCAGGTATAATCCTGGAGGCTGAGGCTGGAGGATCACAAGTTTAAAAACAAGGCTCTAAACAACTCTGAGAGACCGTCTCTAAGTAAAATACAAATAGGGTTGGGGATGTGGTTCAGTGGTCAAGTGCCCTGAGTTCAATCCCTGAGAGAGAGATCACTTTGGAGATTTCAAGGGTTTTAGGAGTTCTGTAAAAGGAAGAGTACCAACAGTAAGTTTCAGAATGCACCTGTGTATTCTTTATTCTTGATTATCTTAATAACTTACCTGCTTCTCACAAATGAAATTATGAGTAAAACTATGTACTGTTGTTGTCTTTCTCCTAGTGACTGGTCTAAATCCAACTGTAGCCTGCAGGTTAAGTTGAGGCTGCTGCCTATTTTTTTTTTAAAGAAAGAGTGAGAGAGAGTGAGAAAGAGGGAGAGAGAGAGAGAATTTTAATATTTATTTTTTAGTATTTGGCGGACATAACATCTTTGTCTGTATGTGGTGCTGAGGATCGAACCCGGGCTGCACGCATGCCAGGCGAGCGCGCTACCGCTTGAGCCACATCCCCAGCCCCTGCTGCCTGTTTTGATAAATAAAGTTTTTTTAACATAACCATGCTCATTTGTTTAGAGGCCTTTAGAYTCTAAGGGCCTCAATGCATAAAGTATTTATTGTGTGGCCTTTTGCAAACTTTGCCAACTTCTGGACTAAGACAATGTTAATTATAGTCAGATGGTAMTATAGCTACATTTTTGAATTGTCTTATTCATCAACCTAAATGACAGGAAAGAACCCTGGATTGTGCATCTATGGATATTAGACTAAGGTTGGAGCACTTAGAGCAGGAAGACTACTCTTTACTCCTTGCCCTATAAGCTCACCTTTGTGTAGGGTGATCATAATTTTTAGTTTGCATAATAGATATTGGTAACTGTTTCTGTTTATTCTTAATATTGTCCCAATATAGACAATAAAGTCCTAGTACAGTCACTCTATCTTGTGAAGGCTACCACTGAGAGGTGTGATGGGAATAGAAATGGAATGCAATAGTCAAGAGACRACCATTGCATGGTAGAATTTAAGAGATTAATTTATTAAGGTTTGTTTCAAGGGTCTCCATGATTTGTTAAGGTTATGAGGGCTCAGAAGTTGCTATATACTAATGGTTATGATTTCTTATAATGAAAGGATCTACAGAAAAAAATCAGCAGGGAAGTCTGGAAAAATCATATGGGACATGCTTAATTCCTTTAGGAATATGTGATGATGAGTGCAAAGTGTTCCCATTCAGGAAAGCTTATCCAGGTTTAGGTGTCCAGGAATTTTATTGGGTGTCAATCACATAGGTGTATACTACCTGCAGGACTGATCTTGGTTATTTAAGCTCCAGACCCCCAGAGAAAAAGCCAGGTGTTCACCAATCTGCTACATCAAGGCCCAAGATCTCAGGGATACAAAAAAACACTCTTATTAGACAGAACATTCAAAWGCTTACAGATTAGTTCTCAGGAGTTGGCCAAGGTCTAGTCCTAAAAACAGGCCATTTGGGGAAAATGTGTAGGGTTTGAACCTTGGTCTCCTGAGGTGACTCTTCTCCGAGTTATATAATGTTTTTTCCAGCCAGAGTTTAAGCCCAGGTAAGTCTGATTCTTAGGTCTAGACTCTTTTCTGCATGTAATTTTTAGTGGTATTTTATACTGATTTGCTAATTAAAAATTTCATCTTTCTTGATAACTATTTCTAGTGAGATTTTTTTCCTGTTTACCTTAAGATAAGGAGCCTGTATAAAGTACTTTWAAAAAATATTTTTAAAATAAGAAATGATGCTGAGATTTTTTGGTTTTAGTAATTTTTAGAAAAGATTGTTTTTATATTTATATATATACACATATATTTATTATATGACAGTGGAATGCATTACAAATCTTATTACACATATAAAGCACAATTTTTCRTATCTCTGGTTGTATACACAGTATATTCACACCAATTCGTGTCTTCTTACCTGTACTTTGGATAATAATGGTCATCACATTTTACCATCATTAATAACCCCATTCTCCCTCTCTTTCCCTCCAATCCTTCTTATATTTGTACATTAAAAAGTAGCCTACATGTAGCTTACTTGAAGAAGTGTTTTTTAACTTTATATTTAATACAGATTTTAGTTTTAAAATGGAAAATGTAATGTATAATTAGAAAAGTTTTGGTTCGAAATTAAGAATTGCCTGCCTTATAGATAATAAATTTGAATATACCTACCCAACATTTTTTCTTTTGTTTTTTTCTGTAGGTATTCGTGGAAACCTTAGACAAATGTTTTGAAAATGTGTGTGAACTGGATTTAATTTTCCATGTAGACAAGGTACTACTTCTATATTGTCAAATCTCAACTTTTAAGAAAAACATAAATCTGTATTTGTCAACGTGGAAATGAGCTTAATGAATAATACTGTTTTATTCCATTATTTATTATTTAATTCATAAATATTTTTTATCATGAGCTGGGTAYTGTGCTTGGTAGTGAAAATTCAGACCCTAAAGAGTTTTTGCATCTAATGTAGGAAAAAATGGCTTTAACAAGTGTGTATAGTGTTACTAGGAACACACATGAACTATCTGCCTATGTCTGGGAGAAAATAATGGAGGAAATTACATTTAAACTGAATTTTAAATAATTAGTAGATATCTTACCAGTAYGAAAAGAAAGAATGACCCTACCAGSAGAGACAACATACAGGCTTTTTTGTGAGAAGTGAAAGAGGCCTGATTTTGAAGAATGATTAGTGCCATTGACTTTGTACTTTATTCTGAAACAATTTGGTGCTTTTAAACAAATTTCTGTTGGCATTATTATTTTGTTGTTRTTGTTGTTTTGGGAGTGTATTGGCAAGAGATTTTTTTCCTGCATTATGGAGGTTGAATCGGTAATGAGAAGATTAGATAGGGAAGTCGAGTAAGAATCTCTTGGAAATTCCAGAAAGAAATTAACTAAAGCACTAAGATGGGGATGAAAGAAAGAATTGATAGGACTTGATGACTTATTGAAAGCTGAAGATGAGAAAAAAATCTTACTGAGGTTTCTAAACAATATTGCTGGGTATTGGTTAGTAGGAAGAGATTCTACTTAGGTATAGGGTTTTATTTGTATTAAGTTTGCATAATCTGATCTTTTTGAATGATTAAGCCATTGAATAAAAATTATAAATAATAAAAATTTTTAGCAAAAAACAAAACATTGGCTTTATTGAAGTGTAGTACATATATATTAATAGTCAGCAGTTATAAGTATGTGGTTAACTGAGTTTTGGCAAATATATATAGTTAGGTAACCACTACCACAATCAAGATATAGCACAAGAATTTTTTTTATTATTATTTGTGATAATCAAAAGAATACAATTTTTAATTTCTCTTTTACTAAATGATTTGATTTTATACATGAACTCACTTTGAACAGATAACTTAATATTTTTAGAAATCTACTTTTAGTGTTCTGCTTTTCTCTAATATATCTCAAGTTTTTTTCACACTTAAAAAGGCTACTGTTGTTTTCAGGTCTTAGGGCTCACAGTAATCAAAATTATGTTCYGGCACATAGTTAAAAATTTAAAATGGCTGCTCAAGTCATCAGCTTAGGTAATATATTAGCAATTTTTAAGTAAATTGAAGATTTTCTTATGAAGTGTGGTAGTAGTAAAGTTCTTATATTTGTTACTAGAGAATGAAAGCTTTCCGTAAGGAAATTAAGTTCTCATATCTAATATGTATGACWTACAATGTTTTTAAAACTTCTATTTTATGTTAATATGATTTCATTTTAGATCAGAAAATAAAGATGAGAAAAATAAGTGAAGCCATCTGGATAACAGAGATTGCCTAGTGTTAGCATTGTAGAATATATATATTTCTAGATTTTTTTGTACAAATGTACAGAAACAAATGTATCTTTTAAAAAAAAGTAAGGCGGGAACACATATATTGTGTCTATATTCTCCTTTCATTTAACAATCTGCTAGTGTATTGGWACCTGCCAAAATTAGCTGTGTCTCTTCTCTTTGGGCTGCGCTCTTGTTTTAATGTTTTTTTCAATGTATTGAGGTAGATTTCAGGATGCCAAGAGTTAGAGACTAGTCAAGTAGATACTTTTTGTCTCAACTTTTTATGTCCAAAATAATGCTAGCCTGAAAATGGGATTGTTTTCACTTTTAAGCAGCCTTGGACTTCCATCTGTTAGGGATCTTCTCACTGGCTCAGCTCAGTTTTTTCTTAGAGGTAAATATAGAGTTTTGCATACCATCTCAGGCTGCTTCTGAGCTACAACTCAATGGATGAAAGGGAGAAGTTGTAGAGAATTCATTCCCTTAGTTTAGCACTACAAACATGGATCACTAACTTTGTAGCCTCCAATATAACTGTTTCCATGTGGCCTTCTACCTAATCCCTAAGCCAGTGTTATGTATTTTCTTTTATGATGGTTACCAGTTTCTCATTAAAAAAAATCTTTATTAATTTCTATATCAGTCACAAAAGCTAACATTCACCATGAAGTAGTAGAACAAACTACACACACACACACACACACACACACACACACACACACCACATACACCACATACACACTCAAAATTAGTTGGGTATCCAGACTGGTGATGCATGAAAGGATATGAAAAGTTTATTACTCAAATAATGAGGTTCTATGGTAAGAGCAGGGAACAATTGGCTAGGAGTTTTATGGTAGTTAGGGATGAGGCTGGAGTAAGAGTTTCTGCATATGGGTCAAGTTTTGGGTGATTTAGCTTTCCCATCAGTGCAAAGGAAGGAGAACCCAGGCCTAATCAGCTTGTCCAGAAGTAGACAAAAGAGGAGGGGAGGCTGATGAGGCTCAAGGGCTATGAGCCATCAAACATCAAGAATGAGTCAGGTGGCTGGGACTGGGGCTCAGTAATAGAGCTCTTGCCTACCATGTGTGAGGCACTGGGTTCSATCCTCAGCACTGCATATAAGTAAAATGAATAAAATAAAGGTCCATCAACGTCTRAAAAATATTWAAAAATAAAGAATTGAGTCAGGATCTTTATTACACTTAAGTTAATGCTTTGTTAATAACCTCTACAATCTTACAAATATGGATAACTTGATTTACYTTCTTTTTTATACTACATGTCCCTTTTAAGATTGCTGAGAGGTTCTGCTTATTTTCTCAGCTGAGTTATCTGCCCATGTCCTGAAAAGTAAGGCTCTGATTGGAAAACGCTGGGTTGTTGCCCCTACTTGGGACAAAAAAAAAAAAAAAAAAAATCAGGTTGATTGAGCAAGAAAGCTGAAAATTCTAGGATGAGCTTGGTTTGAAGGGTGTATGAATTTGACAGTGGCAGCTTTGAATATATTTTCTCTCTCTGATCTGCATTCTTCCGCCCACTCACGTATGATCAGAGAACGCGATCTAATGGGTGGCATAAGTGTCTTTCCTACCATTGAGGCAGGGGAAATTTAGACTTAAGAGCAGAGTGTTTTCTTCTAGCCTGATTTCTTGTGAGTAAGGAGTTTTGACAACCTGATCTTAAATCACAGGCCAGACTTCTAAAGGAGTCTAGCCATTACTAATAGCTTGGTAACTAGAGCTGAATACTTGTAATTCAACAGAGAAGAAGGACTACTGTCTCAACCAGAGAGAGGGGAAAAACTGTCAGTCAGAACAGAGGCTTCATTGAAAAAGAACTCCTGGAGGAGGTAGAGGGACTCATATGACATTTTAAAAATGATTAAAAAAAAAAAAGTACTTAAGGAGACTAGAAAACTCTTCCAAGGTTTTAAAAATATGTTTTTCAGACTAAAATGTTTAAAAGAAGAGGACAGTCGCATAATTGAGACTGAAATTAGAAGATCGGATGGAGGAAAGAACCTCAAAGCAGGACTGAAAGATGAAGAGATAGAAAACATGAAGGAAAAGAGTAGAGACTTTGAAGAGTACATTTACTGTATATTGTAAAAGTATTTTGAAGATCTTATCCACTTCGGAGAAAGGAGATTAGGGAATRACTAGAGCATTTTAGTTGGAAAACAAGATTTCTCAATGGTGAAGAAAGACTTAATATTTGTTTTACAAGTAATAATAAAATCTTATGTGTTCAATTAGTAGAGAGAGGCCAGACAGTAATTGTTAATGGAAAGTTTAAGTACAGTAAAATCTCTTATTTAAAAGGGAAGGAATAGAACAAATAAAATGCAACCAAACTAAGTATATTAAGGAAAAAGAGAAAATATAATTAAAAATATGAATATTAATACACTAAAAGTGATTTGAATGAAATAATACATTAAGGCAGAAATGATGGGTTTAAAAAGCACAGTTTATATAGGAAAGGAAGGATAAATTTTAGAGTATTTCACTTTATATTTAACAGTTTCCCTAATGGTTTGCTTTCCTAATACCCACCAAACATTATAATTGATGTTATTAGTGTCCTTGTGACAGAATTTTAATTAATTTTAATTTATTTTAATCAAATGCTGATATCATTCCTTTTGGTGCTCATACTGTCCATCTTTGACCCATGAGAACTCCCTTCAGATTGTCCTCTGGGTTCTTTTGACTTGATCCTACACAGATCTTGATGGCTGCTTTGTGTTCTGGTACAGTTAGATGTTCTAGACTTGTTTTATTCATTCCCTTTTCCAGATGAACCATTGTGTCTTCTAGTAGCCCTAGTTCCTTTTAGCAGGGAGATAATATACTGAAACCATAGTCTTCAGATGTTCATAATTACAAGGCTGGMCATTGTTGTAGGCCTTTTCAGTGGATGGAGTATCTTGTATATTTTCTGCTCCAGRCCTCAAACAGCCATTTCTCAAGGAATCTTGGTTCTTCTTACTGGAAAAGGATGTTCGGAAGTGACCATGTGGGCACCATGTTTGCTCATTGCTATGGAGGTGATGGTATTCCTGGTTCTTAGTGTACTGAGCTGGAAAATAGATTTATATGTACACATGCCACACATACAAAACTTTTTAAAAAATTTATATATATTAAAAGTCATTGCAGTAGGGCTGTAGCTCAGTGGTAAGGTACATGTTTTAGCATTCATAAGGCCCTGGATTCCGTACCTAGCACCACAAAACAACCAACCAAACAAGCCCATTTAGTTCTTAATACTTCACCATCTAGTACAACACTACATAATTTATTCTAACCTTCTTTGCCATATTTGCAACTTACTTTGATTATCATAAATATTTTTATTCCCATTATTTTTGATGTGTTTTACTCAGTCTTTCCTTTCTGTAATCAAACTCCTGATAGCTTAGTGTCAGTATGCCAGTCTCTATCCTTTTCTCCCAGCACAGAAAATTGACCACAGAAAC